ACATTTAATCAACTACCAAGCTTGCAAACTTTGTGTTTTGTCTGTTTGTTTGTTTTGTTAAAAATGTAATACAAATGTCTGGTTGCTCCTGACATGATAAATAAATACTGCTCATATTCAACCTCTCTCCACAAAGCAAAATCTAATACACCAAATGCAACTACAACGTATATTCCCGCGCTCAGTGTGCCCTCCCCTTCCCTTATTCACAACCACCTTTGTGGAATGTGCGTAATGCTCCGTGCTTCCGGACCCAGCTATCATACTATCACCAACATGGAAGCGTGATTAGATCAATAGGTAATGGCACTCCATGCATTCATGCCGGCCACATTACCTTGGAGGTGTCTATAGACAACTCCGGCTTAGAAATAGAGATGAGCACCTCTCCCAGCGTCGGACACGACTAGACATAATGTCAGGGGAAGTCACAGGGAGGAGGGAGCAAGCTTGTTTTCTGCTGCCCTGGAGACAACGACGCGAAACAATGGCTTCAAACTACAATAAAGGAGATTCCATCTGAACATGAGGAAGAACTTCCTGACTGTGAGAGCCGTTCAGCAGTGGAACTCTGCCCCAAAGTGTGGTGGAGGCTCCTTCTTTGGAAGTTTTTAAACAGAGGCTGGATGGCTATCTGTCAGGGGTGCTTTGAATGCAATATTCCTGCTTCTTGGCAGGGGGTTGGACTGGATGGCCCATGAGGTCTCTTCCAACTCTATGATTCTATGAAACCTTTACCTACCCTAACTTAGGGCCCATCTGAGAAAGGTAGGATAGAAATACCGTAAATAAATACATTTACGACATTTCTACCTCATCTTTCTCACCCTGGAGGGAACTCAAGGCGGCTTTACATACAGGCAACAATTTCATGCCCTAAAACACAATGTACACCTTTTTCGTGTCAGGAGCGACTTAAGAAACTGCAAGTCGCTTCTGGTGTGAGAGAATTGGCCGTCTGCAAGGACGTTGCCCAGGGGATGCCCGGATGATTTGATGTTTTTATCATCTTTATGGGAGGCTGCTCTCATGTCCCCGCAGGAGGAGCTGGAGCTGATAAAGGGAGCTCATCCGCCTCTCCCCAGATTCGAACCTGCGACCTGTTGGTCTTCAGTCCTGCCAGCACAGGGGTTTAACCCACTGCAGCACCGGGGGCTCCTCAATGTACACTTAATGTGCACTTAAATAAATGTATTTAATATATATGTACACTTAAATGTTACATATGAACACTTAAATAAATAAATGACCTTGGAGATGTCTATGGACAATGCCTGCCCTTCGGCTTAGTAATAGAGATATGCACCACCACCCCAGAGTCGGACATGACTAGGCTTAATGTCAAGGAGAAACCTTCACCTTTACTATTATTTTTACTTATTTTTCCTTTGATTAATAAAATTATTATGTATTCCGAGATAAGCTTCCAAATCTTATCATGTATTGCCTCTCCATTCAACTCAAGACTGGTATAAGAAATGGTCTGTTCTATTGACAGAGATGATAGATATAGCATTTTGAATCAGGCTTTCCACACGGTTAAATCGATGCAATGACAACATTTGGAATTGCTGTTCCAGGAGGGAGGAGGGAAATGGAGAGGAGGGCATGGGTGACACACATCTAAGGAATGTGCAAAGTGTCATATAAGGCAAAGTGACTTTTGGAATAATGTATATCAAGATAAGAACTGTATGGCAATAGTTTGTTAATCAAATTGATGCATCAACTAAAATAAAGAAGAATAAAAAAGATCCTGGGATATTGGGCCTGCCTGGAAGGGCCCTCAGTTAGGCTAGGTAAAGGTAAAGGTTTCCCCTGACATTAAGTCCAGTCGGGTCCGACTCTGGGAGAGGTGAACATCTCCATTTCTAAGCATTGTTCATAGACACCTCCAAAGTCATGTGGCCAGCATGACTGCATGGAGCACTGTTACTTTCCTGCAGAAGCGGTACCTATTGATCTAATCATGCTTGCATGTTTTCGAACTGCTAGGTTGGCAAAAGCTGGGGCTAACAGTGGGCTCACCCTACTCCCTGGATTTGAACTGCCAACCTTCTGGTCAGTAAGTTCAGCAGCCCAGTGGTTTAACCCACTGCACCACCTATTCATTTAGGGTAATTCTATCCAAATACACCAGGAGTAAACTCCATAATCAGTAAAAACTTACGTGTGGTGAGGAGGAATAGCCTTTTAACCTTTAGGATGGTTGAGGATAGCAGAGTTGATCTTAAGGTTCAAGAATTTTATTAAAGTAAAAAAGAAATACATTCTTGATAGAAAAGTCTTGAAGCGAACCAACTTGCTAAATCTCATCTTCTCAAGAAGGTAAAAGGTTAAAAAAAGTCGGTGAAGCTACATTTTGCCCACAGAGAGGCAAAATGCGTCCTCACAGTGGGAAAGAAAAAGGAGGAAGGTCATGTTGGAGACCGCGTGGCTTTCCCGGGACAATTTAAACTTAAAAGGAAGTTCCCTCACAGAATTCCATTACTATGTCATCAAAGGGGGGAGGGGAGGGAACTTTCTAGCTACTCACTGAGGACTAGAAACATTATGAAACAATGACTTGTGCAGTCCAGGGATGAAGCTGAACACAAGGCTTGAGCCCCTAGTCTTCCTCCTGGAATGAAGGGCCCCTGGCTGGAGGCAGAGGCTGGAGACAGCCTGGGGTTTTGCTCACCCGCATAAAAAATGAGGGGTGGGCGTGGGTCTCAAGCCCCTTGTTGGACCGTTATGCTGGGCCACAGGGACCTGCTGGATTCTTCAGAGAGAATCACCCATTTTGTAGTGGGGCACCAAAGCAAATTATTATGCTGTTACAATTATTGTTATAGTTTCTGCTCAAAGAGCCCATGCCTCTTGTTATAGGGCAGCCAGTTCCACTAGCATGATTCAGCCTCTACTAAATTCCCTGACTTTGTTCTGGAGTGAAAGGGGGATGCTACTGCCACCCGCTGGGCACACAACTTGAGGGGTACTCAGCCTGCAGCTCCTTTCCTGTCTTCCCGGAGTCTTTCTGCTTTTCAGTGGCCTGCATGCAAAGGTCCAGCTGCCAGAACCAGTAGAGCCACCACATTTGTCCTCAGTGGTGCCTCCTGCCCAAGGGCTGTGTGGATGGAGGTCTGTGTGTTGCATCTTGTGCTGTGAGGCCCACATCCTGCTCAAGACGGGCTGGGAAGAAGCTCCAACTGGATTGTACTGTGAGAGGAGCCACAGGCCTATCAATGCTCTCATGCTCAAGAGGTCATAGGGCATGCACCTTGGTCCTCTCCACCTGACTGCCATGTCTTGCTGCCATGAAACGTCAGTAGTGAGGATGCCAGCAAGCATCATAGCCTTCAACGGCACCACAGACCCAGGTACGCTTCAAAATACACTGCTACTGGGCAGAGACTAATTCAGATTTCGGTACCCAACTTAGCCACACTATCCTACAGGTCAAGGGTCAACGTAGTAGATTGCAAGCAAGGTTCCACCATTTTATCATAATAAGCCAGATGTGAACAAAACATCAGTTTGCAGCTCATAAATCTATTACAGTGACCTGTCAATGTCCCCCGTCGCAGGGTAATTGGTTAATCCAAAGCCGGGCCTCTTCTTCTGGCAGACCTTGCACGCTCTTTTCCAAAACATCAATAAACCATCTGGTTTGACTAGTTAATCAAACGACTTTATTCAGTCCAAAGCCATTTTTTCTTAATAAAAACAGAGTATTTATCTCCATGACTATAAAAGCAGGTTGTTTTCAACTGTTCACTTACAGTTAAGAAGCACATTTTGTCTAGATTGATTTCCAATGCTTTGGTCATATCCTGTCACTTTCCATTTCTTGAGCACAGCATCTCTGTTTAGCTACTTAGCAAGGGAAGCCGCAGCCATCTTGGCCCGAGGAACTAGTCTGGGAAAAAGATGTTTATGGGGAGAACCCATATGGCTAAAAGGGTTACCTCATACCCATTGACAAGAGCCATGGTCAGCCTCTCCTCTTCTGCACCCAGAGCTTCACTCCCAGAGCTTTGGCTTGCAGGCCCCATGCCCTCCCAGGAAGCCTCACCTCCAGTTTTTCCATTTTTATTCAGGAATTGGGACCCATTGCAGGAACCACCCTGCAAATGGCTTCCCTCACTTACAGCACTTTCCATTTTTGATTCTTGAGACTAGAGGAGCAGACAAAGGAGAGAAAGGCTGGGAAGGGAGGTGACCATCCCGCTCTTCCTCATGTTTTGCAAGCCCTGCCCTACAGGAGGGCAACTGGCAAATGGAGGGTACCTGGTTGGAGTTAGAGGCAAAGCAAGGTGGTGGTGCAGCAATGCCAGCTGCACCTTGCATTGCAGAGGAAGAACAGACTCTAGAGGAGCTGCAGAGCCCAGAGGGCGAAGCCAGCCCCACAGCTCCCTGTCCAAGATACCCCATCTTTCTCAAGGAGGGATTGCTCTCCTTCCACCCCAACCCCCACACCTTGGCCTGCCACATGGCTTTTGGGCTTTTCCCTTCACTTTCGGGGGGTTCGTATGCCGGCGGGATCACCCATGCTGCCCCTCTGTGGCCTTTCTTCCTTGGCTCCCTTTTGCAAGGACAGCTGGCTAGGCCCAGGATGGGTCAACCTCTTGATTTGATTTCTCCCAAGAACTCTATTCTCTTTTATGGCGGTTCGTCTTCCACATTGGGCCATAGACACCTAGATCCCTCTGACCAGAGCTTGTCCAAGCTGCCTCCCGAATATGCTTTGGGGCCACTGTCCAGGAATGATGTCCCTGCCACGTTCCTGAACTACCAGAGGAGACCACTGGCCATTTGCTTCATGGCAGATGATGGAATGGGAGTCTCTTTCATGCTTGGACCCCCATCCCGCACCCCTGGCTCCCCCTTGCCTGCCACTGTCCTGCTTTGCCTTTGGGCCACTTCGCCAGCGGTGGGGTCCCGTTCCGTCCGGTGCACGCATAGGGGCTCCTCTGTCTTCCTGCATTCACACATTCCTGGGGACAGCCGAGACAAAGAGCTTTTGCTCATTTCGTTTTTTTAATGTATCACAATGAGCAGGAAACATACTTGATGAAATATTTTCAAAGGAGTATATTCAATTACCATCTACAATCAACTTAACTATGACAACAAAGTGTTTTGTGACAAAATCTTGTTGTTTAGAGTTCTGTGTGGTTTTTCTGTCATTTGTCCGTCTCCAAAATGTTTTGGTACAGTTCGAGATCAGCATCGTTACAGTAACAAAACAAAAAAAAGCTAACAAGACTACATTATAGAAAAAACACCAAGAACATCATTTTTTGGTTTCACTTGCTCTAGTTTTTGTACATTGCAAAGGCTGTTTATAGACCTCTTCACCTCATTTATGCTTTCGGTTTTATCCAGCTGCGCCCCTCAACCGAACCGAAAACAGTCAAAGCTTGAGTGCCGTACAGGGCTGCCCCTTGGCCTGGCCAGGGGCCATTGGCCCTTCCACCTCTGGTCAGAGAGAGCCCCTGCCATCCTGCTGCCCGCTGTGACCTTGCCGGGACCCCCTCCAACTCACTCACTCGCCTGGTTGTGGCTGGCATCTCCTTTGCGGCAGGTGCCCCATGGCCAGCACCCCTCTCCCCCGGTCTGGCTACAAAGGAGACAGGATGAAGGCCAAGGAAGAGGGCCTGTTGGGACGGGGCAGTCTGAGAGCCCTCCTGTGCTCCAGGGGGACCGTTGGCTCTCGGAGAGACCAACAGCAGCCAGACCCCCAGGGTTATGTTGAGAGACACCCTGAAACACCCTTCAGAGGGAGGGAGGGAGGGAGGGAGAAAGAGAAGGTGATCATGAGTGTCATGAACTCACTGAGCAGGGGAGGGAAACTGAATGGATGCAAAGCAGGCTACCAAACCTGTTGGGGAAAGCAGGTGTCCAACTGGCAACTGATGCCACGCAGGGAACTTAAAACAAAACCAAACCGATATGGTTCAGAGTAACGTACAACAGTTAAATGGCAAAAAAATATATATCTATATATATATATTCATAGAATTACAAACAAGTTAAAAGAATGGAAACCAAAACTGTACAATTTTATAAAGGTTTTAAAAAATGTTCATCTCAAGCGGGGGAGGAAAAGGGGTGTTTGTGAAGGGGAGGCCTTTGCCTCTTGCCTATTTGTGACCACTTATGCTACAAGGGCCCTATGCTGCATTTCTCCCTCCCTCCCTCCCTCCTCAAGAAAGGCCTACACCAGTTCAATGTGAAGTCTTCTGTTAAGCTCAGGAGGTGCCCTAAGTAGGCGGGAAGGGGCAGCGGATGGGAGGGTGGGAGGAAGGAGAAGGCAGAGCCAGTGTCTCTCCCAGCCCCATCTGGTCCTTCCAGGGGCTACGTAGAAAGGGGCCAGGAGAGGCAGCCCCTCCCCAGATTATTCACAGTCTATGTTCCCTTTTGAAGCATGCAAATGGGGGTGGGCGAGGAGGGGTGTTCCCATGGGGAGGGGCAGGAAGCGGGAGMTCTGGCCAGGAAGTGACCCTCCACCCTCTGTTCCCCGCTTCCCAAATTGGACCATGTCACAAAAGGGGGGGGGGGCGGAGGAAGAGAAGGGGAGAGGGATCTGTGGCCAAGCACCCCCCCCCCCAGACCCTGGCTAMCCTCTTGCCTTTGGGGCGCTCAAGATGCCTTTGGGTTTGGGTGGGGGGCAGGAAGCGCCCAGGGAACCCACCCCTGCGCTTTGTGACCTTCAAACTGAGTCTTGCGGCTGAAACCGGAAAMAAATCCTGAAGTCGAAAGAATCCTTTTTGCTCATTCTGCACCAGTGGTGAAAAGGGTTGTCTTTGGATTTTATTTAAAGCATGAATTTCTTTTTTTTTTTTTTTGAGGAAAGGAATAAACCAAACAAAGCAGYGAAAAAAACATAACAGACAAATCCTTGGAAAAGGAACAAGTGCACCCTAGATACCCCAACAAAGGCCAAAGACGCTTCCAAAACGGAGTCTCTGAAGCATTTACAAAACGAGGAAAGGAAGTCCAAAAGAGGAAAACCAAAGGCGGAGAAGAAAGAGAAGAAGACAGAGTTAAGTGCACAAGGGTAACAGACATGTATACACCTTAAAAAGTTTCGAACCCCCAACAAAAATATTCTGCAAGGGATCCTACTGACCCCTTGGAAACCCTTTGAGGTTTTTTTTCTCTCTCTTTAGTTTTTATAAAATAATTCTGCGTCTGCCCTCCAAGAAAGGAAGGCAGCGACCGGAAGTGGAAGAGTACAGGAGGCGAAAGGGGTCAGATACAAAGGGTTGGAAAAGCCTAGGCGGCGCGTCGGTGGGCCGGATCTACCTGGCTAGGAATGGACGAGACAACACCAAATGAGAAGCCGTCAGCTGACCATACAAAAGCTAAATGTACACAAAAGGGTTCTTTTTTTCATCTTCTTCTTTTAAATCTACCATACTGCTTCAGTTCATTTCCAATGCAACAATCTACTCAACACCAAAAATGGTCATATCTATCATAAATACAGAAAGTCAGTTGTTTTTAAAACTTATGTTTAAGCTCCAAGTCCATAACACTCTTTGTGTGTTGCTGTTGCTGTTGTTTCCTTTGTTTGTTTGTTTGTTTTGAAAAGTGGGAGTGCTGAACTTTTCCCCCTTGAAATTGGCTTCAGCAGAAAAGCTACCCTTAAAATCCCCAGAAAGCTAACTCAGTTCACATTGTTTCTCTCACAAATACTTACTGCCCATTTTTTTTAAATTAACAACAAAATTTTCCTTTTCTTTTTGGAAAAAAAAATCAAAACCAAAAGAAATTATATATATATATTTATATAAAACAATGATTCTGAAAACCGAACAAAGTGTGAGCGATTGACCTGAGAATAAAAAGACGTTACATTTCTTTCTCTTTTTTTCCTTTTAGCAAGCCATTGGTTTCTGAATGCTAAGACAGCAAGAAATCTAAAACTGTAACAAGTGGTCTGCTTTCCCATACAGTTATGCCGGCCTCTGCTGTGCTCTCAGGGGGCTTGGGGGGTGCGTTGTTATTATTATTAGTAGCAGTATTGAAAAGAGGGGAGGATGGAGCTCCACAGAAGGATAGAGAGACGGACAGACAGAAGGACAGGCAGGCAGGTGCTGGAGCGGGCAGAGGGCCCCTGCCACCGGGGTCAGTCCCACCTGCCTCTCAACAACCAAAACGCAAAGAAAGAAAGCCATGGGGGAAAATCTGCCGGCATCGGTATATGGGAAAACAACCCACACTCCGCTCTTCTTTTTTTCTTTTTCTTTTTTTTTTTTTGGTTAGAAGCTTTGGAATTGCAATTAGTCTGTTTTTGAAATTGGTTTGTTAATATTTTTAAAATTCATTTTGTTTAAATTGTTCATCTTCAAAGCTTACAATCTAAAGGTGTCCATCTCTACTGGGCCAGTGAGGCCGCCGCTGTCCTGGGGGGGGCAGACCGGCCCCTCAGGCCCCTCCCTCGCCGGGCTAGCCGGCCTGTCCAGCGTTTGGCTAAGGTCTGAGTCAGGCTCCTCCACATAGTTATTATCTGTTGGCATCGAGGGCTGGACCCCTGAGGTGCTGCATGAACTTGAGGTAACCGTTGAAGATGAGGAGGCAGGAAGAGGAGGAGGAGACGTGGGCTTGCCAAGGGTGGCCCCCTGGCCGCTGGCTGCTGAGGGCCGAGACTTCCTGGAGGCGACAGCGGAGGCGATGGTGGTGTGGGGGGACGATGGTGTGGTTGTGGTGGCGGCGGCGGTGGAGGAGGAGGGGGGCGAGGCGGGGCCGTCTGCGTGTGAGAGAGCGGCAGGCTGCGAGGTAGATGTGGTGCTGGGGTCGGGGAGGCAGGCGGAGTGAGGTAATAGGCTGGGGTGCTCTTTGGCGTTTCTTGCTGCTCTGGGGATTGTTCGATGTCGGTGCAGGGCAGACTCGAGGTGCTGTCGGAGGGCCTCTTCCCCGCACACCGTGCTCTCGCATGCCACGCACTGGTACTGGCTGCCGCCGCCACCCTGGCCACACGGAGCTGGCACGCGGAGCACCATCTCCTGCAAGTTGGCCGCAGACTGGCCGAAGGAGCAGACGGACGACTTCTGGTGGTCATTGGCCGCCTCCTGGCTGCTGAAGCCCACCTGGCACTTCCGGCAGACCAGCCGGTACTGCACCTTTGGGACAATGAAGGGGTCGCAGAGGGGGTCCACAGCGCCATTGCGCTCTGCCTCAGGCTCTTCCAGGGGCCTGGGCAGGAGAGGGGGCGTCTCATGGGGGGTGGGTTTCTGGTCTTCCTGTTTGGGGGGTTCTTTGGCAGGATCCTTTCCTGGGGTGGCAGCCCCTGGTGGGACCGGGATTTGGCTTCCTTTGGGCTGTGGCAGGGTTGGTGGCTGCGGCGGCTGAAGCAACCTCTGCTGCTGCTGCTGTGCTTGCCTCTGTTGCTGCTGCAGCGCTTCCTGCAGGCTCTGCTGATATTGCTGGTACTGCTGCAAGAGAGACCCTGGGTTCAAGCCCAGCAGGGCCTGCGAGAGTGCGGGGCTGTAAGGAAACAGCCCTTCCATGCCGTACATGGGCTGGAGGTAGCCGCTCTGCAGAGCTCCTGGAATCTGGGGAGCGTAGTAGGGGGAGAAGCCGGGGACAAAATAGGGGAGGAACTGGCTCGTCAGCAAAGCTGTGGGGTCTGAATTCAGAGCTGCCTGCAGGGCTTGGAGCTGGCTAGGCTCCAAGGCATATTCCATGGTTGGCAGCACCCCAGCAGGGGGGGCCGAGGCCTCCACTTTGTCTTTCTTGGGGGGTGGCGGGGGCTCCCCCTTGCCCTTGGAGGCCTTGTCGTTCTCTTTTGCCTTCTCACTGTCCTTGTCCTTCCGTGGGGTGGGCTGGAGGGCTGCTGCCGTCACTGGGGCTTGTGCTGGGGAATGGGAGCTCAGTGTGGCCGAAGGCTGCTTATTTGGTAATCCAGAGGTGGGGAGCCCAGGCGAGGGGACGCTTGTGCCAGGGAGAGCCATCAGGGTGGGCTTGGGTGAAGTTAAAGCTGCAAAGAAAAGTAGAATCAGTGGGGGGCTTCTGTTCAGGAGCCCTAGAGAAGGAACAAAGCCCACATCCCGCCTCAGGGAGAAGAAGGAAGCCACACACCTTCCTCTGGGGTCCTCTCACATTCAGGGCCTTGTCAAACCCCTTTGGGGGCAGAGGGGAAATAGGCTGCCCTTTGATAATTGTTTCCCTCCTCCATCTCACCCAAAGGGCATTTGTGGGGGTGAGGGAAAGCACCCCCAGTGCCAGTACAGAAGAAGGGATAGAGGTAGGTCACACCAAGAGGAGGAGAAGGGGAAAGAAGGGAAGGGCCTTCTGTCCCAGGTGAAGCTACTACCCTTGCAAAGGGCTGGTGGGGGAGTCTCTTTTCAGGAGGAGGTACTTGTTCTGCTTGTGGCCTTTCTTGCATCTGTTTCCCCTCTCTCCAAGAAGACCACAGCAATCCAGAGTGGAAAGCTGGCCTGGGCCAAAAGAAGCCACAGCAGTTTTTGCCAGAAGCAACCACCACAAGAGAGCTGAAGGCAACCCCAACCCACCAAAAACTCTTTGGACCTCATCACATGAGGCTTGGGGTCTGTCCTAGGACGCTTCCAGTATGGAGCCCATCACATGATGCAGGACTACTTCCCTTTGTGTTCTATTCTGGAAGCATCCTAGGATGGAGCTCAGAGAACATGGGAGGCTTCTTGTGTTCTCATTGAGTAAGAAGGGGGAAACACAGGGGGAAGCCGGGCAGTGACTGTTTCCCTTATGGGATGGGGAGGGGACGATGTGGGGCGTGGGATGACAGTTTTCCCCGCTGCCCCACAAATGCTCCTGCTGTTCCCGAGCTTGAGGACCTCAATGTGATGAGGTCCATTGGCTGCCTTCCTTAAAGGCAGATGGGGCTCAACTCTGGGGCACCCCTTTCTGAGCCTGACAGCCCAGAGGTTCACTCAGGGCTGGTGAAGGGGAAGGGGAGGAACTCACCTGTGTTTGAGGGCGTGAAGCCTGGCAAAGAGGGGCTGTTGAGGCCGGGCAGAAGGACGGGTGGGATACCCTGAAGAGTTGCTGGGTAGGCGGTGGGGAGGTTCAGCGTCTGCAGTGGGGAGCCGTCGAACATGCCTTGTGGCTGAGCGGCCATTCCAAGAACTTCGTTGGCCTTCTTTATGCGGTCTAGCTCCTGCTGTGCCATTAGCTGCCTGACTGTGGCTGGATCAAAGTACTCCTTCTCTTTGTCTAGCTGGCTGCCAATGGTGTCCTTCACTTTGGAAATGTGCTGCTGGGAGAAGATGTGGTCCCGCACAGACAGACGGGCGCTGTATTTGATGCCACACAAAGTGCATTCTGTCTTGGGCCCCTCGTAGCTAGTCTGGTTGATGCCAAAGTGCTTGGCCATGCTGAGCTTGGCCTTCTTGTCCTTGGCACGAGCATTCTGGAACCAGACCTGGACGACTCTCTTGGGCAGCCCGATGTCATTGCCCAAGACCTCGCATTCCAGCATGGTGGGTGTCCGGTAGTCACTAAAGCATAACTTCAGCACCTTCAGCTGGAGGTTGGTCATCTGTGTGCGGAAGCGCTTCTGTCCCAGCCGCTCCCCGCTCTCCCTGGACTTGCCGGTTGAGCCGCTTGTGCCAGGGCTGGGTGAGCATGGGTCTGCCAGGCTGGAGGTCTCGCTGTAGTCCACGGTCCGCTCATCATAGTCCTTGCTGTAGTAGCTGGGTGCTGGGCTGACCAGGCCAGAAGACAGCCTGTCCTCGTACTCCGACATAGCGATCATGGCGGCCTTGGTCAGACCCTCACTCGGTCCCAATCCACACTTGACTTCCGTGGTGCTGTCATTGTCCGCGTTGCCCTCATCGCCCGTAGTGGTGTCTGTGATGGCTGTGTTGACGGAGGAGCAGTCATCGTTGTCTAGTTTGCCCGGATCGAAGCCCAGGTGGACCGAGGACATGGAGGGGCTCTCAAAATCTTCCATCCCTTCAACCTTGATGGAGGACGGACTCAGCAGGGCCCGAGGGGAGAGGTCCAGGGACTTGCCCACCGGGGAGAGGGGCATGCCCTGGCCATCGCTGCTGCCACTGGGGGTCACCAGATGGGAAAAGCCGGCCCCATCAAAGAGATCCCCCCTCCCCTGGAGTCCTCCATCACAATCCAAGAGCATGGCAGAAAGAGTCAAATTGTAGCCAGCCCGCTTAGCTTCGTGCCAATGCCGGGAGCGGATGTGTGCTTCCAGTGCCGTCTTGGCTTTGAAGAGTGCCCGGCAGAAGGGGCACCGCCGATGAGCCTGGGCAGGGCCCAGGGCCCGGAACTGCCCCTTCCGCTCCCGGGCCCGGGTGTTCTGGAACCAGACCTGTACTACCCGCTTCTTCAAGCCCACTTCATGTGCGATGTGGTCCAGCATCTTCCGGGTGGGGTTGGAATCCAGCAGGTACTTCTGGTACAAGACCTCCAGCTGTTCCGGGGTGATGGTGGTCCGGAGGCGCTTATCCCTTTGCGGCTCCTCCCCGCCAGTGCTGCTGTCATTCTCCCCAGGGCTAGCACTGGCCTTTTCCTCCAGCTTCCTCTTTAGGGTGCTGACAGTGGAGGTTGGAGTGGAGGGCGAGGTGGCAGAACTAAGGGGCAGCTGAGACAGGGTCCCAGAGAGCAGCTGGCTGGCCAGAAGCGGGTTGCTAGGGTCAAAGAGCATGAAAGGCATCTCGAGAGTCCTGTCCAGGAACTGGGGGTGAATGAACTGGTTCTGGGCACTCAAGAAGTGAAGCTGCTGATGCTCTTGCCAGTGCTCAAAGGAGGGGAAGGCCAGCTTGCACTGATCACACTGATAAGGGATGAGCTGAGGAGGCAGGTTGGCCAGCGGCTGTGGCGTGGAGGTGTGCAGGGGCTTAAGGGCCAGGTGAGAGAGCTGGGCTGGGGCAGGGTCAGACTGAGGCAGGGTGCACTGAGGAGGTTGGGCTGGCTGCTGCTGCAGGGGGGATGGGGAGGCCTTTGGGTGCCCAGAGCCAGCCTTGGCTTCTCCTTGCTCTAGCACCTCCTGCTTTGGTTGCATTGGCTTCTCTAGAGTTTGGTTTTGCTGTGTGGTTGGAGGTTCAGGTTGCTTTGGTTTCTCATCGGTTGCTTCCACTTTAGAACTATAGGTGACAAGATCTTCATCAGCCTCAGTGGTGACTTGGGGAAGGAAGGCCAAGGAGGAGGAAGTCGAGGAGGAAGAGGAAGTCGAGGAGGAAGAGGAAGAGGAGGAGCAGGCAGCGTTGGCGGAAGGTGTGGGGGTGCTATAGGCCTGCGAGGGCATTGGGGTGCTGCAAGAAGAGCTGGTGGGGGTTAGGAGTTCTGCGGCATCCATGGAGTCCTCGTTCTGGCTGTCCTCCTGGCCATCCTCATCCTCATCCTTGTAGCACAGCTTCTTCTGGTGCTTGATCAGGTCGAAGATGCGCTGGAAGACAAGGCTGCACTTCTTGCACTGGTAATTGAGGTTGCTCGTTCGGATGTACCTGTCATTGCTCAACTCCCGCCTCTCCCCATCCTTCCCATCTCCCTGATTCTCATAGTTCTTCCGGGCCTTCTGCCGTGCATTCTGAAACCACACCACAATCACCCGGGTAGGGAGGTTGAGCAGGTTAGAGAGCTGTTCGAATTCATCATCCTTTGGGTAGGCGTTGGCATCAAAGAAGTCTTGCAGGACCCGCAGCTGGTAATCAGTGAAGCGGGTCCGGGAGGACCTCTTGCTCCCCCAGTACTCATGTTTTTGGGGCTCTGGGGAGGGAGGCCGGGAATCCACCTTCAAGTCCTCCAAGCTGGTAATAGGGGGGTTGCTGAAGTTATACGGAGAGTCCTTATTGCGCTGGCGCTCTTTGAAGAGGGTGTTTCGGAACCAGTGCTTGATCACCTTCTGGGGCAGGCCAGACTTGTCCGCCATCTCCTTGATCTGCTCCTCACTTGGAGAATTGTTGATATCAAAGTACTGCCTCAAGACCCGGAGCTGGTCATCGGTGATCCGCGTGCGAGGCCTTTTGTTTTGCTGCTGCTGCTGCTGTTGCTGCTGAAGAAGGCTCGGAGTGAGCTGGTGCTGGTACAACTGAGCCAGATCTGCTGGCAGAGACTCAACGGGGCCCAGTTGTGGTGGCAGCTGGGCTGGCAAGGTCTGCAGGGGCATGGTCTGCATCATCAGTGGGGAGAAGAGAGGCAGCTCCATGGGCATAGAAAGCTGGGTGAGGGATAGGGATGGCTGGGCTGGTACAATGCTGGGAGAGGAGATGGGTGGAGCTGAGACTGGGATGGTGGGTGTGGGGGGCTGCTGGGGGGGCGCAGCTGGCAGGGGAGGCGGCGGCAGCGGGGGAGGCGGTGGGAGTGGTGGGGGAGGCGGCTCGGGTGTCTGGGGCCGCAGTGGATACAGCTGGTCGTAGTGCTCACGATACTGCTGGGCAAAGCTCTCTAGCTGCTTGAAGGGGAAGTAATGTTGGTGGACATGCTCTTGGTGACTCTTCAGGATGAGGATGTTGGTGAAGAACTTGCCACAGGAGTCGCATTCCAGCTTCTCCACGCTTTCTCCTGGATCTGCCTTCCCTGCCTTCTTTTGAACTTTCTGCTTGTTCTCGTTGTACTGGATGACCAGCTCGAACCCAAAGTTTTCCAGTAGGGCCTTTGTGGCATTTCCCCGCGCATCTGATGCTATGCGGGGAGGAAGCATAGAAGGTTCCCAGGGTCCTGCCTGCACTGCTACCTGCTCTTTGGGTTTGTCTTTAGGCTTGAGGCAGGTGTCTGGCATGGTATCCTTCCTGGGGGATCCCCTTTCCTCCTCCTCCCTGTTGGCCTGCTCCCTTTGGCCCTCATTGTCCTTGCACTTCTCCTTCCCAGCGACTTTGTTGCTCTTGTCCAGGTGTGGACTCTGCTGGAGGAGGACACAGTGGGGCGGCTGCAGCGGTGGAAGCTGCTGTTGCTGCTGCTGCTGCTGCAGGATCTGTGGATGGCTGAGCTGGGGCAACTGCACTTTTAAGTCCTCCAGCAGGCTGGGCCCAGACCCTGTCAGTGTGAATGTGCTGCTAGTCATGGGGGGCAAGCTCACCTCTGGGTTCAGCTGAAACTCTGCACTGGGGATGTAGAAGGGAAAGAGAAGGTGGTGCTGCTGCTGCTGGAGCTGAAGGAGAGTCTCAGTGGTCATTGGGAAGTGAGGCAGGAGCCCTGGGTTGAAAAGCTGGGACTGCAGAAGTGCCGCTTGTTGCTGCAGTTCTTGCTGAAGCTGTGCCTGAACATGGGCCTGTGCCTGCGCCAAGTTATGTGCTTGCTGCTGCTGCTGCTGCTGTTGTTGCTGCTGCTGCCGGGAGGCAATCATGTCAGCCAGCTTCTTTCGGTTTACTTCTTTGGGTTCCACGGATGAGCTGGAGGTGGTGGCAGGGGCGGTGCTGGCACTGAGGGGTGTATTGAGCAGAGGGATGCCCGTACTGTCACAAGAGACTTGGCTGAGTGGGCTTGGGACGGGTGCTGCACTGGTGCTGCTTGTGCGGGTTGTGGCAAAGGATGTTGGGGCCACGGCTGGGGCAGTAGTGGTGGTGGAGACGGAACTTATGCTCACAGGACTGGAGGAACCCATGGAGATGCTGCTGCCACCACTGGCCGCTCCCCCTGTGGCGCCTCCCCCCACCGCCTCCAGCTTGGCTGCCCGTGCTTTGGTCTGGTGGAGGACTGAGCGCATGTGGATCTCCAGAGTGGAGCTCTGGCTGTAGGCCACACTACAGGTGCTGCACTTGAAGGGCTTGTTGTCAGGGCTGTTGGTGGGCTCCAGTTGACCCGTGCTGGACTCTTGGAGGGCTCGCTTCAGCTTGTGCAAGTGGGAAACAGAGTTGTAGTGGACCAGAAGAATGTTCTTCTGTGTGAAGGATTCTTTGCAGACAGTGCATTTGTACGGGCGGGACGGGTCCAGGAACTTCTCCATGGTGAAGTTTGGCCCCTTTCGGAAAGGGAGAGCCCGCTTTGGTTCTGAACCGGAGTCCTCCTGCACAGAGCCAGAGTCGCTCCCTGTGGGGCTCTGCTTGTCCTCAGAGTCGCTCTCCTCCTCCCTGTCCTCCTCGGTCAGCAGGCCATGCTCCTCAGCCAGTGAGGGATCCCCCATGGCCAAGAGGTCCCCGTTCACCATGAGCCCGCTATACAGCTGCTGGATGTCTGCCTCACTCAGCTCCAGGTGGCTGCTCTCCAGATGCTTCTTGAGGGCCTGGAAAGTGCGGAAGCTGCGCTGGCAGAGGCAACACATGGTGGCTGCACGGATCACGTGGTATTGGGAGTGCAGCTGGAGCTTCTCAATTGTCTTGAAGGCCAGGCTGCACTGGTTGCAGCGGTATTTGTAGACGTGCCGGTCAGAGACAGGAAGCTGGGGCCGCTTGGAGTGCGCTTCATTGAAGTGGGCCTGGAGGGAAGTGGAGCTTTTGAAGGCCTGGCTGCAGCCCTTCTTCCAGCAGAGGAATCCCACCTCCTCCCTGGCCAAGGCCTGGTCTGGCACCTTTGGCTCTCCCTCACGCACTGGGAGCTCGGAAAGTGGCGGTGGCAGCAGCAGGGCTTTGCTCAGGTCGTCCGAGGTCTCTGTAGAGAGGCAACCAGGGGAGAGAACAGAGAGTGATACATCTGCCGTTGCTTCCATAAGGAGTATGATCTTCCTGCTATCATTTAGAACTGGGTTCTCAGTGCGCAAGGGACCCCCAACAGCCCTGTCTTTCTCAAGTGCACCACTGCCAAGCCCCTGGCCATAAGCTGGCAGCCCAGTGAACATATGCTTTGCTTCTCCTTGAGGGTATTCAATGCTTGCTGCTTCCAGGCTTCCCAATCAGCCCAACACCCAAACCATTACACCACATGGACTCTCAGAAGGCAGCACAGGAACAGTATTTGCATGTGGCCTCAAAGCAGAAAGGTGCATCCCCTTCTCCTGGCCCATCCCTTTGTAATTCCCAAGAAGCAGCCCAGGTGAACTCAAACATGCCAAGTGACACATCTCCCGAAGGTGAACACGGGGCATCCCACCTCCCTGGCAAAATTCCCCTCCAAGACGATTATGCAAGTGACTGACCGGACAGCTTGGCTGGCTCATCCGTGCTGGCATTCCCATCCCGATCTGGTGTTGCAGCTGGGATGAACATGCTGCTGGGCATCATGACCTCTGGCGTCGTCACCTGTAGAGGCCCAGAAGGAGACAGACAAAAATTGTCTTAATTTCCTTGGCCAAGGAGGACATTTTGGCAATATCAGAACAACACCTAAGGTGCCAAGCGATGTTTCTTTTAAGAATTGGCAGAAGTTGGAGCTAATAATGAGAGCCTACCCTGCTCCCCGGATTCGAACCGCCAACCTTTTGGTCAGCAAGTTCAGCAGCACAGCAGTTTAACCTGTTGCACTACTGGGCTCTCTTTTTACCCTCATAAGAGACCATCCAGGCACATGTCCTGGGGGAGAAAGGGGGGCAGGTATGTGAAAAGAATGGCCCTGGCCCTTCCCACAGGAGTGGGACTCCTTGTGAGGACCTTCGGCAGCAATCCTCTCAGGGCATGCGGTAGGACAATTCCTGCATCCACCCCCCACCTGCTGCCCTGAGCAAAAGGGCCAGAAGAGGCTCCTTGAGAACAAGTGGCTGTACCGGATAGGTCCAAAGGAGAGAACCCATGAGCATGTACAGAAAAGCAGAGCATATGAGGAGACAAAGCTCCAAATGCTTCATTTACATTCCTCATATGCCGCACATACAGCCCTTTTACTGAGAAAAGAAGGCTCACGGAAACAAGCTGTAGTTTTAAAAATCTACATCTGGAAGCTCCAGAAGACCTTTGTCCAACTGAGCAAGGACATGGCTGGAACCGGAGCACCCACCCTGTGAGAAAGAGCTCCAGGCCTGAGGCATTTTGGTTTTGGGGGGTGGACGGGGGGTGGACATGACCAAGAGGTGTCTGTGACTGCAAAAGTGGAAGAGGGAAAGGAGAGAGAGAGAGAGTTGAAGGCCCAAATAGCTGGAGGGCTGCAGTTTGAGGATGCCTGATATAGATACATTTATATAAGAAGATTTATGTGTCAATGGTAGATAATTATAATAAATATTTACATGTATATTACTAATCTGTTAACAAAAGAAATTATCTTTAAGGTATCTATATAGTTGGCTGTCATCAAGAGTAGAAAAAATAGAGTTTGAATTAGTTAATTGATAAAATAGGGAGAAGGAATACTATGCAGAGTTGGAAGAGAAGAAAAAAGGGACAATATAAGAAGATAAAAGAAATCAACGCGGATCCTGAAAGATAATCTGTTACTCTTGTTAGAGAAGATATCCTAGTTGGAACTTTTTTCTTTTACTTTACTTCCTTCCCATACTAAAGAATATGTATAATGATACTCCCTCGTCCTTTTTGTCGTTGACGATACAATAGACTCGTGTAGAACTATTTACCTATCATGGCTCAGTAACTTACTGGATATACTCAAGAATAAACTTAGTTTTTCAGCCCTTTTATGCTGAAAAAGCCCCCCTCAGCTTATACTTGAGTCAAGATTATTTATTATTTTACTCTGTTGTTGTTGTTGTTGTTGTTGTTGCTGTTGTTTTGGTTATTATTATAACATTTATCATTTTATTATTATTTTTACATTTATTATTTTACTCTATTATTATTACATTTATGATTTTGGTCTATTATTGTTATTATTACATTTTGGTCTATTATTGTTATTATTGTTATTATGGAGCCCCTGGTGTCGCAGTGGGTTAAACCCCTGTGCCGGCAGGACTGAAGACCGACAGGTCGCAGGTTCAAATCCGGGGAGAGACGGATGAGCTCCCTTTATCAGCTCCAGCTCCTCATGCGGGGAAATGAGAGAAGCCTCCCACCAGGATGATAAAAAATCAAATCATCTGGGCACCCCCTGGGCAACGTCCTTGCAGACGACCAATTCTCTCACACCAGAAGCAGTTTCTCAAATCGCTCCTGAGATGACAAAAAAAATTATGTTACTCGATTATTATTTTTGTTACATTGATTATTTTACTTTATTATTATTAGAAGGATATGAAAGCATGTTTACATTGAAGATGGCTAGAATAATGGTTTAATCTGAGTTGGACCGTCTTATCTTAAATGACAGTTTTATGTAAATATTAATAAACATTTAACCCACTGATGCTTCAATTCATGTAATGTTATTGGTATCTATTTTTATTTTGAAATTTACCAGTAGCTGCTGCATTTCCCACCCTCGGCTTATACTCGAGTCATTACATTTCCCTGTTTTTTTGTGGTAAAATTAGGTGCCTTGGCTTATATTTGGGTTGGCTTATACTCGAGTATATACAGTACATACTATATCCTGTGTTATTTCCCACCTTTCTCTTCTTTTCCCCCTTTCTAATTGTTTGAGTTTAATTTTTTTCTCTTTTCTGAAAACAAACTAAAAAGTTATTTTGCAAGAAAAGAAAAGAAAAAAGGCTAGAAATCTAGGTCAGTTAGTTAAATGGATTGCCAACACGTTACAGATCTGGTAGAAGAAAGAATTTCCCTAAAGAATGCCCAGTAAGCTGATGGAATTCACAACTGGGAGAGGCGTAATGCTTCACATTTACAGGGCATCTGTAGATGTTTTAAGCACATTCATGGAAGGTGTTCTTTCAGGGCTGTTAGTCATGGCTGCCTCAGGCAGCTCCTTGATTCATACTGCAGTGCCCCAAAGGCAGAAGGAAGGATAAACTAGCCAAGAAGTGGGATGGGAAGTTGGGAGAGAAGGAGGAAAAGATGGGTACGATCACCAGAAGAATACCTCCCTCTAAAAATGATGAAAATGATTCCAGAGAGGCCAGTGGAGCAGGGGAGGAAATAGAATCCAGCCCTACGTTGTCCATTATTACAGCAAAGCACAGTCTTTCCGCAGGAACCTAGGAGGGTAGCCATCCAAACCAAGAGACTCTATGATGGATCAGTAATTGTTTTCATACACTTTAATTAGAAAAACTCAGATGGCTACGAATAATAATGGAAAGAGAGGCTTGTGCACTTGAAAGGTTGAAGTCAATCAAGTGTGAATGACGGCAAACACACACAGAAAGAGAGAGAGAGAGAGAAATAGAGAGAGGGGAGTCTTTAATCATAATTCCTGATTGGGATTCAAGAAGGCAGTAAGCAGCGATTCTTTGTCTGCCTTCACCTTCCATCAATTAACTCTGCCTGAAATATAATCATCAACCTCACGTGCTTCTCTGCATCTCAATCTGGTGGTGCTGCTGCTGCTCCATCCAGCCCAGACAGTCCTCCTCTCCTTCCCCGTCCCTTTCTTCTGATTGGGTTGAACTCACCAGCCTGTCTCTAGTGGCATATTTATTTATTTATTTCACATAGTTGTACCCTGGCCTTCTCACACCCCCCCCCCAGGGGGGTGGGGGTTTGGGCGGCTTCACAATAGGCATTCATTCAAATGCCAACCACAGTCATAAATAGAATACGCTTAAAACAATTCATTAAAAATATTACATTAATAAGACATTTGTTTAAAATCACACAGGTTTAAAATCAGTCCATTATCATTCATATCACTTGAGTCTTATTCTCGATTGCTGCCTGTACTGTTTGAAAGCTTGCTCCCATAACCAGGTTTTGAGTTTCTTTTTAAAGGACAGGAGGGAGGGGGCCAATCTGATGTCACTGGGAAGAAAGTTCCATAGGCGAGGGGCCACCACTGAGAAGGCCTTGTCCTCATCCCTACCAGTTGCATTTGTGATGTTGGTGGGATCGAGAGCAGGGCCTCCCCAGATGAACTTAAACTTCGTGATGGTTCATAGTGGGAGATATGTTCAGATGGGTAATCTGGGCCGGAACCGTTCAGGGCTTTAAAGGTTAAAACCAGCACTTTGAATTGTGCTCGGTAGCAGATTGGCAGCCAGTGGAGCTGGCGTAACAGAGGGGTTGTATGCTCTTTGTAAGCTGCTCCAGTGAGCAACCTGGCTGCCAATCGTTGGACTAGTTGAAGCTTCCAAGCAGTCTTCACAGCCAACCCCACGTAGAGTGCATTGCAGTAACTATTTGTGATATAACCCCGCATATCCAAGACCAGTGAGACTGGGATGGCTGGGGGGGGCACCCAAGGAGCCATGCTTCACAAGCCCCTCCTGCCCCAGAAGGGCCCAATTGGGACAGTCAGTACTGCTCTTCAGGTCCCTCTCTCTAAAAGATACCATGGAAGAAAGGTGCACACACCTGGAAGAGGGACACTGGGGGCATGTGAAGGCAAAGTAATGCTTGTCTCACTCTTTAGCAGTCTTTTCCTCTGTTCCTTTCCCCTTGCCATAATGGCCTATGGAGGCTTAGCCTTGGACTGGTCTCAAGGGCTCTTAGTTGTCCCCCCCCCCCCCCACACACACACACACAACAGTCGCCACAAGCTCCTGCACTCCCTCTCCCTCATATATCCTCCCAGCAAAGCCTCTTGCTTCTGGACTGCTTCCTTCCTGCATTGGTCCTCTTTGTTGGTCCCAGGCAGCTCCCCCCCTCCTTCTCCACCACCACCACTCCTCCATTTCTACCCTCTCACCCCTCCCTCTACAGCTGAAACCTAATTGGTGCAAAATGAAGCCGGCAGCAGCAGCAGCAGCCAGAAACTGAAGAGACCCATTAACATCTCGGCTGGCTGTCCATGCTTTGGGGAGGGGGGCAGTGGTGGGGGGCTTGCAAGATGAGGTTCCAGAGCCAGACAAAGGAGGCAATTTCCATTACAATGGAGGCGAGGGAGAGCGGGCAGCAGTCGGGCTGGAGAGAAAAGCTTCATTAGGCTCAGAGAGGCAAAGCGATGGCACTATACCAAGGTCACTTCTAATTTAGACCACCTAATTGGCAAACATGGCTCCAAATGGCTATCATCTCACAGGGCTCAGAATTAATGAAGGCCGATTATTTTCATTACCTTCATCGGAGATGGAGAATGAGACCGGGTGGGTGGTGGGGATGAAGCCAGGAGAAAAGAAAGTGGCTGAATGACAGTAGAAGGATGGGGGGGGGGGGCAGAGGCATGGGGGAACAGCACCCAGACTGTGGCCAAGGAGCCAGGAGGAAGGAGGGGATGGAAGGTTCAAGCCCTCAGCTAAAACAAAGCAGCCTGATAACACCAAAGGGGCCAAGAGCCTGGCTCTCTGCTTCCATCCGGCCTGGAAACCAGCAAAGCAGCAAGCCCCTTCATGGCCTGTCAGTAACTGAGAGGGTTTCCAACCTGGTGGTACCTGCTGGGGAATCTGAGCTGTTGGGCTCAAAAAGAACACTCAATTGGGGTGATTCCACCATAAATATAGCAGAGTACCAAAAGCAAACTTCATAACCAGCGAAGATTCACATGTGATGAGCTGGGATAAGCTTTGATATCTTAGAATTGCAGAGTCAGAACTTTAGGTTCAAGAATATTTATTGAAATAAAAGAAATACATTCTAGATAGAAAAGGTTTTGGAGCACACTAGCTTACTAAGTCTCATCTTCTAAGAAAGGTAAAAAGGCAACAAGTCAAAAAATCCACGTAGCTACATTTTGCTTAAAGAGAGAGAGAGAGGCAAAATATGCATCCTCGCTGCAAGGAAGAAAAGGCAGAAGAAACAATGGTGGTGAAAAGGCCACATGGCCAGCCCAAAGAAGTTCCCTCACAGAGATTCCATCTTCAAAAGGGGAGGAGATAGTGGCAAGGAGGAGGAGAAAAGACAAAGCCTTTTTTGGTAAACATGCATAGGAATGTGGTGGAGGAATCCCTCAGCCTAATCCTATCTCTAGTTACTCATTAAGGACTAGAGACTTGATGTCACAAGAGACTTGTGCACTCCAGGGATGAAACCCAACAGTACCTGCCCAGGGATTCTGGCTCCTGGTGAAAAGAGGAAAGGAGGGAGCAGCAGAAGCATCCTCAGCAATGAGGTGCCAGAGTCCCATTAAACATAGCTTGGACGGCCTCCCTCCTTCCCTCCCTGCCGTTCCCAGTTGAAAGCACCCCAGCTGGGGCAGAGACACCCTGCCACCAGTCTCTGCCTTCCTTTCCAAGGGGAGCACCTTTCACTGGCATCTGAGGGCAAGTAGACTACCCTGAAGGATGTAGCAAACACTTTCCCCACATACCTACCGGAACTGGCTTATGGCTGGCCAGAGGCAGCAATGGGATGGAGGGTGGCTGCCTGACCCACAGGGTGGGAGGCCCAGCATACTTGCTCAGGCTTCCTCCTTTCTACCACCTGCAGCTTCTAGAAGGCAAGGTAGTTCCAAGGACCTGCACTCCCCCATGGCAGGGGCAAAGGAACCCGGGCAAAGGGTCCTTGCAACTGGGTGTTGCCTGGGCTCTCACCGTTAAAATGAGCTTCTCCACGCAGTCTGGGGACACGCTGTGCAGGTGAGTGAGGTGCAGCTGCAGGTGGATTTTGTTGCTGAGCATGTCCTGGCAGAGTGGGCATCGGAGCATGGGCTGGACAGAGTGCTGCGTCATGGCGTGCACCCGCAGCCGGTTCACGTCGGTGTTGCAGTACTTGCAGTAGGGGCACTGGTACACCTGGAAGGAAAGGGGGAGGAGCTAGGCTGTGAGGCCTGCTGGTGGTCAATGGAGGGAGGGGGTCCTTCCTCCAGCCCCCCGAACCCCCTCCCGGCCTGACCCCAATTGCAGGAAGCTCCCCATCAACCTACAGGCGGCTTCAACAATGCTGCTCCCCATGACATTTGGTAAAGCGGGGGGCATGCACTGTCACTTTTTGGGGGGAACAGCACATAGTTGCCCCAGGGACTCTCTCACCTGTTCCAGCTTGGTCTCGTCTGATGTTCTGGGCCATTTGGTAACAGGGGACTCTGAGCTTCGTGGAGGCAGAATGCGCTTGGACGATGCTGGGGCCTCTGTCAGCTCCTTCTCAGCCTGGGCAACTTGTGCTGCAGAAAGAGCAGAAAGACAATGATGGGAATGTGGACTGGAAACTCACTGGACTTGGAGGGGCTTGTGCAGAATGATGGCATTCACAGGCTCACTCCTGTTCACACCTAGAGCTCTGCTTAACCCTCGCTCTAAACTAGCTTGGCGTCCTCTCAGAAATGCCACATCTGATTGGTATATAACATCATGGTTAGGCCATGAATGAGCGAAGAGGAGGGCACTCCAAGAAGGGAAAGCCGTGTAGAAGCCACAGAAAGTGGGTGCAAAGATGACCAGACGTGTGGGGGTAGCTGTCTTGCCTCTGGAGCTCACCTGCAGCAAGAAAACGCTCCAGTACCCCCTGACACAATGCAAAGAGCAGTGCTTCTCAAAGGGATGAGACAAACACCAGCTGACAGTGTACCTCAACTCTTGGGGCTGCCCTACAGGTACAACCAAAGTAGCCCCCAACCCATTCCAGGCCTGATTCTCACTGGTGCTTCTGGGATCATTTTGGAGAAGGGACTCAGGTGGGGAACAGGTCCAAATGGAAGGAATCCCAGGCCAAAAAATGGAAGAACATGGCGGACCCCCTCTGCTCTCTGTGTGAAAGCCTTGTTAGCACCATCTTCTCACCCCCCCCCCCCCACATCAAGGCTCCTGTTGCAATTCAAAGATATAAGGGGATATTAAAGGTTATGGGTGATGCCAGGAGACAAGCGCATGTGTACTCCCTTCTCTCCATTTCTTTCAGACACACAAGCGCCTGGCCGGAATGGCCACTCCAACCCACAGGCACCCAAACACGGCTGAATAAGGCAGAGCCTGTTCCAGGAAGTGGACCCTCTTCCCAGAATGCCCACTCCATGACCCTTGAACCATGCCCCCTGGAGTACATAAATTTGCAGGGCATCTATTATTTAAAAACTACAAGGACAAGCCTATTACGCACAGCCCCCACAAATGTACACATTCAGAACAGTACTTTAATCTGTCTCGAATCGACTTCAAACCCATTTCGCCCTTAATGGGAGTTATTCATTTTCACTTGAAAGGTAATATATGACAGCTGGATATTTAACATGATGGATTGGCTGCCGATTAACTAGGCGGTTTAACGCTCCTCCTCCTCCTCCCTGGCTCCCTCCCTCCCTCCCTCCCATCTCCACTCCCTCCCCACCCCCCCAAAGATGCAAAGGAGGTTCAGAGAGCGAAGTTTGTCAGAAATCACAAAAGAGGCCATAGAGATTAGCCCAGCATGTGAGCAACGCCCAGGAGGGGCCATCACCCATTCATTTGTTTGCCTGTTTCTATGTGCAGCCAGCTGCTAGTGTGCCTCAACCATTCTGCTGGCATTTTACCCCATTCTGCATCAACATCCTAATTAAAAATACTAGTAATGGCCCTCAAGGGGGAGGAGGATTCTTGAGTGGAAAGAGATGGCCATGTGTTAAGAGGCACAGAGGGCTCCCCAAACAGGTGTAGGCAATGGCTGCTCTGCAGAAGCGTCCCTTGTAGGAACAGAGAGGGTTAAAGGCAGAAGGAAATGTGGAAGGGGTGGATTTGTCAGTACTTTTGTGCCCCTCAAAGCAGGTCCTCACCAGCAGAAAGCGTGGAGAGCAATGGGACTGCCCAGTTGGAAGTGAGATGAAGGAGACGCGCAGGGCAAAACCTCAGAAGCAAAAGCCAAATGAAAACCCACAGATCAGGAACTAACCAAGAGGAAGAAGGCTAGGCAGGGCAAGATGGGACATGGCTACGCAAAGGGAGGGGAGTCAACCACATGCCACATGGATGGAGCCACACCACAGGGAACCCATACCCCAAAAATTTGTTGGAGAAGTATTTGATCCACTTTGTTACTAAAGTGGAAGCCACCTGCTTTGGCTCTGGCATCAAGGTCAGAAGCCAAAAAGGGTCTGAAGGGCTGGCGGACCAAACAGACACAGAGAGAAAGAATACCAAAGTGGCAAGTAGCATTGCCTTACTAAGGTACATTTAACTTCCGTCTTCAGGAAGAGGGCAGAAGAGAACACTATAGCTTCCAGAAGAACAGAATTGGGGGGGGGGGGGGGGGGTAGGATCTACCTGGCCCAAGAACGCTCCCCTCCCAACCCATCAGCTTCATTGAGCTCAAGCCCCACTGACAGCCCCTTCGTCTAAACTCCCATTCACTACCTAGCAGCATAATGGAGAAGCCAATTAAATTATTATTAATTCATGTTGCTTTCCGTAAGCTGGGGGTCTTGTTTCTCTGCATTCCGTAAACCAACTCGCCACTGGCCCCAGAAATTCACAGCACAGCTCACTCCAGAAAGCCCATCCCCAGCTTCTCAGGGGTGGCCTGTTGACATGGGTGGCTCTTCTGCTCATCAAAGGGGGCTGACAGCATGTGGGAAAGGGGTGCAATGTCCATGTACTGCCAGCCAGTAGAATACAGGGCCTTGCCAGGCTTTTGGTGGGCCCTTTCTAGCTCTCTGCTAGAATTCTACTTCTAGCCCAGTTTTCCAATACAGTTTTCCAATACAGTTTGGCCTGGCAGAATGGGAAGCAGAGAATGTGGCAGGAAGGCAGGCACGATGGGATGGGTCCACTTTGGCCAGGGGTGTGCTGACCCCCGCTTTCCCATTTCTGTAATTAGAGCTACAGCAGGCCTGTAGGAATTATTCATAAAGGGGCAAGAGCTGTGCAGGAGCCATTTATGTTAAACATGTCAAACCCAATTGCAATCATGCCTGCCAGCTCTGCACGCCATAAACACACTTTTCCGCAACCATTTCCCAGCCCTTGGCAGCCCATTAATACCTCCCTTAATAGCAGTCTGCCACGGGTGCAAATTACAGATGCTCTGCTGCACTGATTGCAGTGTGAGGGGGGCCTGGGGAAGCTCAGAAAATGGGGAGCACTGAAAGACTCCCTGGGCTGCTCTGCAAGGACCACGGCTTCAGGAATGGCTCGCCTGCCTGACGGTGAAGATCAGGAGTAGGTCCAGTGCGGCCAAACACAGGCAAGGCTCCTGCATCAAGTTGGCTTTAAAAAACATGGCCGAGTGACCTCCTGCCTCACTCACCCATCCATTTGACCTGGTCCTGGTCTGTTGTGCTTTCGGGGTCTTTTGCAGGCTCTTCTGGGTCCATGGCGGTCTCTCCAGGTCCTTCGGCATCTTCACTGAACTCCTCTGAAAGGGGAGGAGGCAAAGGTCAAGGCAGGAGGGACTCATGCCCTCTTTAGCGACTCCCCTCCCTTCCAGGAATCCTCCCAGTGGAGGCACTCTTTGCTTCTCCAAAGCCTGGTCCTAGGCCAGTGCCAGAAGGAGACCCCACATGGCTGGAGGGCCACAGAAGAGGGGAGGGTGGCAGCAGCAGCATCTGGAAGAAGGAGCCAGGCCTTGGGCCAGAAGCAGTGGGAATGTTCAGTCAAGCCCATTCCCCGCAAACAGTCCGAAATGAAAATCTCATGCTCAGGCATAAAGGAGTTGCTGCTGGGAAATGGGGGAGAGCAAGGACAACTGGCACAGAGAGGGGAAGCACTGTAAGGAAACACTCAAAACACAAGCAGGGAATGCTCTTGGAAAGACAGAATGGGAAATCTCTGAATCCACTGGAATTAATCTGTGGCTGGGACAGAAAGCCTTGGGAATTATTCGCAGAATACTGTCCTTGGCCAAGGAGAGCCTCAACACTCTGTTTCCCAGGTGAAGTCAACTGTGGGGCCAGCTCCTTCCTGCTTAGCCTGGGCTCAGGAGCAATGCCCCGCACCTGGAAAACTGACAGGCAATCAAGCTATCCTCTGAGTCCTTCACTGCCTCGCCCGCAAACCACCAGATATTGCAGCCCCCTTTGCCTTGAGCAAGAGGACAGCCCTGGAGCAAATCCTTCCCTGTAGGTCTAGGGGAGATGGGGGAGGAAAGGGCAAGAAGAGAGGGACGGGGAGCATGTCTCCTTCCCATAACGCCACCCCCCCCCCACCCCACTGCAGCCGACTCAAGAGTGGAGAAACATTAGCTGTCATGAACCACAATCAAATCAGGTTTGAAACATTTAGCAGTGGCTTGGAAAATGCGATGGCGCAGCTCTGACAGGCGAGATGGGCACAGACACCCATTTCCCATTATAATGGAAATATCCAGCCTGTTCTGAATATGTATAACCCAGAAAAATGTATTGATTTTTCATTCGGCATTTAAAAAAATTGAAATACCCTGCAGCTGTCAAAAGCCTTTTGTTAAAAGCTCATCTTCCTGGAATGGGGTTTACCAGAAACAAGTTTTAATTGTACACAGGCTGCTTCTCTGAAACACAGGGCCCCACGGCTGGCTAGATCTACCCCTGTGGTGACCCCGGCACCCTCTTCCCAAGCCTGAGGGACACCTTTTTTAGGGGGCAGCACAGCTGTTACAGGCTGGCTGCAGCCCTGGGAGAGAGGCAAAGGAAACAGGACTGGAGCACTGGGACAAGAAGTCCAAAAGGGCCCGCTCAGGCACCTCCAGAAAAGCCCCACTGCCTGCCCCCCCTCATGCAGGAAGAAGGGCAGGCATGGGAGGCAGAGGCTAAGCAGCAGAGGCCATGGCTGCCTCTGTTCCCAGGAAGCACCAACCTGGATGGAGGCTGCCAGGCCTGAAGCCCATGCTCTTCACCCAGCAAGAACTGGGGCATATCTCTCCAAGGCTTCTTCGCCTTCTTTCTATATAGAGACAAATAGACAGGATTCTCTCTTTGAAATCCAACCCCTCCATCCTTTCCTCTCACCTGAGCCCATTGTCAGTGAGAAGCTCCACTGGATTTCTCCAAAAGAAGAAAGCAGTGTCCCCTTCTCACTTTTTTCTTGCCATGCTTTCCATTCCAGCCACCCCATTGCATCCCCTTTACTCCCCCTTTTCTGTGTCCAAAATCCACAGGGCCTCACTCTCTGCAGCCTGGGGACGGATAAGGTCATCCCTTTCCCAACTCTATGAGGTCACAACATCATTGATTTTCATCAACACATTGCAATATTAACAGCTTTATGTCCACCTCCTTCCCAAATGATTCCCTGCACACTATTTGCCCCTCTCCTCCCAAATAGCCACACATGGGTTCAACACAGCTCTCCTGGAAACACTCACATAAACACACATTCACAAACACACTTTAGTAGAGAGATGGGCAACCTAGACTCCCACTTCCTTTGCTCCCTTCACCCAAATGGTAAAAATGCAGCTGGGAGCAGCAAGCCTCTTGTCAGCAGGGACAGACACCAGTAACCACTGCAGCCCCTTGGAAATATGGTGGTAGCAGTGGCCCTCTGTGGTTAGCACACCCTTGAGAGTGAGCCGAAGGCCCCGGGCTTCAATAATTGAAAACAAGTTAAGATCAACAATAAGAACTGGAACTGGCTAAAAGAATATTAAACCATGACAAACAAAACTAAACAGATGAAGTGTAAAGCTGGACAGATTTGGACCTACTTGATTAGGGCCAAAGCCGTCAAGAGGGAAGTGCAAAGGCCGTCTTTGCTTGCAAGCCGAAGGGGCAGGAACCCCGAGTGAGGTCTAGCATCTACTCCCCGCCGCCTTTCGACTAACAGCCCTATTGGCATAATTCAGCCTCCCAGGGGCCTTTCCTCCTCTTCTTCCTCTTCCTCTGTTTTGAGGACCTCAGGGGCGCTGTGCGCAGAACCAAGATGATGGGAAGCACTTCCGCTGCATCCAGCAGAGAGCCCTATTGATCCGATACACACTTGGTGCCTTCAAAGTTGTTTATGATCAATATGCAAATTGCTCACAGCATTGATCTAGTATTAATTTTCAATTAGGGAACCCACAAGGGGTCTCCCAGGGTCAATACCTAACAATGCAAAGGAAATGCCGCAATGAAGTTATCAGCCTTGGTGTTTGGAGGCGAAGCTGCTGATTTCTGCACATTCTCTCCCAGCGACAGTTCCATGCTCCCCGGCCTTCTTCTCTTCGCTGTAGTCCTCTCCCTCTTGCTCCCAGAGGCCATTCCACTGGGCTCCCATGATTCTCTTTCCTTTTAAGCGTGTGTGTGTGTGCTCTGGAGGAGCTCTTGCTTCCCAAGAGCAAAAGAAAGCAATGGCACCCACCAGGGCTATTTCCAGACCCCAGCCCACAATTTTAAGTGGACTCCCCCTCATATTTTGACAAAACATGTTCTTCCTTGATGCAGGGCAGATGCAGGACAAAATTGCTCTGGTGCTTCCTGGAAGAACTGGAAGGGCCTACTGCCATGTGGAGCAGGACTGTGAAGGAACGGAGGCCCACCACAGGGCTCCCAGTTGCACCTGCTGCCCTCCCAGACTGCTGGCCCTAGCGCTTCTTTCGGTCAGTGCGCCGCCCCCCCCCCCCCACAGGGAACCCCGGATGCCATTCATGGTGCTCACAAGCACACTGGCTACGCGGGCTAATTGGTTTACGGGTAACATTAATTACCATGTTGCTCATTAATGGATGGAATCTTTATTGGTTTCATTGATCAGCAGGACTTGTTAGCTGGTCTAACCAATGGCAGATGTAACAAGCTCTCTTATTGGCATACCAATTAATGTAATCAATTCCTGCCCAGCGGCTGCCATTCGCTGCTCTGCTTGTTAGATGGTGGGAGCTGAGAGCCAGAGCATTTCTCTGAAGGGTTCCTTCGTCTTCTTGAGTGGGTTCCCACAGGGCCCCTGGACAACCCTACATACAACACACCAATCCGGGCACCACCAGGAATGGCAACCACATAAGACTTATTCTCCACAGGAGCTGCCAGTCACCCCTTTCTGTGGGTCATACACCTTCAGCATCATGCGGCTCCTCCAGGCTGTTGGAGGTAATTATACATTTCACTTATGTAGGCACCATGTCGAGAAATGTAGGAGAAAGCAGAAGCCCCCACCCGCCTGCCTACCTGGCTGGGATTCATTCCAAACCCCATCCAGGGTGACTGGACTCTGAAGGTGATTCTTCTTTTGAAACTTAACTGCTTTGCCTCCTGGGTGGGCATTAAAATTCTTTGACAGGTGTCTGCCCCTTGGGCTTGTCACTTGTCTCCTGCCTCTTTCAGGGAAGCACTCAACCAGAGGGAGAGGTTGCTCTCATGCTGCTCTGGGCCCCAACTGGCCACTGCCCCACATGCGCATGGTCTCCCAAGAGGAGATCAGGGGGTCGGGGTGGCAGTTGCCGTCTGCTCTGTCTCCTGTCTTAAACAGGAAGGAGGGAAATAAGTTGGTGGGTCACAGTGGGATTGGGCCTTGACATGGAGTCACAAAGCCTACCTCTGCAGAAGTGGCTCAGATGGACAGCTGAGTAAAGCGGGAGGGTGTGTGTGTGTGTCTTGGTCCTTCATGAATAGAGATGAGATGCTGAGGCCTTTGTTCCATGGAGCACAGAAACAGGCCCAGAGGAAATATGGACAGCAGCAAAGGCCACAGGCTCAGGCCGTGCTCAGCTCTCCAAAGGAATGGACCGTCAAGAGACCACCTGCTTGCCAATCCACTAATAACAGAAATCTTCACAGGGCTACACTATAAAGTCAGGAAGACTCCAGTCATTTCAAGTCAGGGAATAACATCACAAAAGTACTTTTTAAACTAATTACTCAGCTTCCAAATTGCTGCCCTTAATGAGCCTTCTTTCTGCCCAGGACTTATGAGAGAAAAAGCTACCTTTGGAGCACAGTAATTACCGCTTTCCCTTTCAAACTTCTAACTGGAGATCAATGCTGCATTTTAAGACTCATTGATTTACAATTAGCCTGGCTTTCCTGCTAAAGTGTTTTCAAGCAGAGTTTACTTTTATTTTATTCTGAAATCTCAGAGATCTGGTTCTTGGATTTCACATCCTCCGGAGACGTGTGCTGGAAACTCCAACAGGAAGAAACTCATCAGAGAAAGGGAGGTGTAGAACAGGTGGTCCCTGGGCCCTGTGGAAATTGGTGGCCGTGGCGGTGAGTGGCGCTTGCAGCCCTGAAGCTGAACACAGCAATGATCATCAGGGAGAGAGAAGAGTGAGAAGGAGCCCAGCCCAGGAGATCAGATGCAGACATCTGACAGGAGCAGAGGCCCAAGAAAATGGCAGGAGTGAGGAGGGAGCTCTCAGGAAGCTTGTCCTCCTGCTCTTCATCTGCATCCAGTGGCAGGCAGAGGGATGCTTTCTCTGTCTTTGCAACACAAAGCATCAGTTAAAAATAGTGCAGCAGG